CATTTTTTGTTATGCCAACACAATCAAGCGCAGCTATTCCGCTGCAATTCACTTGATCATGTGGTTGTTGGTTTTGTTGGTTTGTGCTAATAATTCTATTTTTAGAATGCTTAACTTTTAGGTGTGCTCGTCATTATTTTATTTGTTTTTGTTACTTTTTTGGCCTTATAACAATTATATTCAACAATTTTCATTAAAAAACGGCCTCGAGCTCAATAAAAATTGTTGAATATAATTGTTATAAGGCCAAAAAAGTAACAAAAACAAATAAAATAATGTAAGCACACCTAAAAGTTAAACATTCTAAAAATAGAATTATTAGCAAAAACCAACAATACCAACAACCACATNTAAGGTCTCGTTAAAGTTACTAAAAGCCATTTAGTGAAAGGAGTTATTCAAACTCTAATGAAAATTACTAACAATTTGTACTAATTTACTTCGTTTTTAAAAAAGCTTGGCGGCGAATTCAGCGTACATGCATAATTGGTTAGGTATGTATATGTATGTATGCAGATTGTTGTTGTTGTTGTAGCAGCATACAAGTTCCCCAAAGGATTTTTGGGGAGTGTTGCTGGAGTGACAGTCCTTGGCCAGATATAAATCTGGGTCGTTCCGGTTACGTAGACCCGACTGTCGTGGGAACGTATGTATGCAGATATTAAATGCCGGTTTGCTATTCGCGCGACAAACTTTTTTAAAAACGAAGTAAATTAGTACAATTGTAATTAGTACAATTGTTAGTAATTTTTATTAGAGTTTGAATAACTCCTTTCACTAAACAAATCATTTGAGTGGCAAGACTGATAGAGATTTCTGTCACTGGCTACCAACAAGTTTCTATCAAATTCTAAAGGGCAGTGTGAAAAATCTGATGTAAACATTTGTGTACATGTGACCTTCCGTCTTCCTCTAACTTATGGCCTTATTTAATGGTCTCTTTTTAACCAACGCAAAATTTGCAAATGTGTTAGTAAGATAAATGAGACGGAAGATCACATGTACACATGTACACAAATGTTAACATCAGAATTTTCACACTGCCCTTTAGAATTTGATAGAACCTTGTAGGTAGCCAGTGACAGAAATATCTATCAGTCTTGCCACTCAAATGCTTTGTCAAATGATAGTCACTGTTCTTGCAGGGTAGTAACTTTAACGAGACTTTAACTTATTTTATTTTATTAATTTTAGTGCAGTTTTGACAAAATTTTCTTGCTAAAAAATCTTTTGTTACACTACTTTATTTTATTCGTTTGATTGTACATGTTAAATAAAAGCTTGTTTTTAAAAAATATTTTTTTTTACATTATTTTTTTTTTGTACTTTTTAGTTTAATTTTATATAACCCGGACATAATATTTTTATTTAGGATTCACTCTTCATTTATAAGCATAGTACATTTTATATAAGCGGCGTATAGAAATAACACAAGGTTATCACCTAATTAATTCAAAACAATTTGTACGAAATTAGGGAACTTGTTAACATGGTTTTATTTTTAAACGTTTAAATATTACATCCTAATCTATGCATTTCTGTCAATGCCTCATTGTTACAAGGAGTTTTTCCGGTGAGTTTGAGCTATCGAGTTCTTCTATAAGAAGACCATCTAAGGATTTTACTCTGCTTAAAGCAACGTACGCTCGTCCTGCAGCGAAAATTTTGTTTCCTAAAGGCCTGTATGCAGCTCTCAAGAAAAGCAAAAACTCCATATAAAATGACGTACAAGAAACGGCTAAGAAATTTTGTCCAGTCAAACTTCCTTAAGGCAGTACGCAGTTCTTAAGAAATTTACTACGCTCTCTACTACGGTTTTCTAAAGTTGTTTGTGAAAAAAGAGCACAAGGCAACCCAGGTTTGCAACAGAAATATATGCCCGTTCCATTATTTCTTGAGGAAAGAGTGCGGCAACATGCTGTGAAGTATCAAAAATGTCAAAATTCCTTGGACACACACATGAAATAATGGCAAATTTTTCTTGACCGTTTTCTTGAGAGCTGCATACAGGCCTTAAATAAACAACGGCACGTTCAACAGTGCTACCCTGCATTTTGTGCACAGTGAATGACCAGCATAGTACGATTGGTAACACTCTCCGTTCTGCCGTACCGTAACTAACGGGTGATTTTTTTGAGGTTAGGATTTTCATGCATTAGTATTTGACAGATCACGTGGGATTTCAGACATGGTGTCAAAGAGAAAGATGCTCAGTATGCTTTGAAATTTCATCATGAATAGACTTACTAACGAGCAACGCTTGCAAATCATTGAATTTTATTACCAAAATCAGTGTTCGGTTCGAAATG